GGAGTTAAGCTCAAAACTTTAAAAAATTGCCTTTAAAAACAATGAAAAACTATCTGATTCAAAACAAATACTTTTTTTAATATTTAGAGCTGGTAACCATGCAGACATCATTCTTCTATTCCATCCATGCCATAGCACGATTATATATGAGCTTTTTATCTACTAATATAAGCACTGATATTTGTAGATTTTTAGTTGTCCTCTGGGTAATGAATATTTATAATAATTCCAAAATGTAAATTTTTTGTCAGATGTCAATTTTAAACATTTAACTACAAGCTGGTTTTTAGGACTGAGATATGATGACCTTTTGGATGAAACACCTGTAGTAAAAGAAGCTGTTAGACGTCTCCCGGCTAAAGAATACCATGAACGTTCTTACCGTATTATCAGAGCAATGCAGTATAGTTTAATGCATCGTATATTACCTAAGGAACAATGGACTAAGTTTGAAGAAGTAAGTGAAACAAGAAAATTATTATTGTTAAACTAATAATAGATAAATAGTAAAAAACTTATTAATGGGCACCATAAAGTAACATGTTGTTTGCATGCACAGTAGAAGCTTATTCATTTGGCATATAGGCTCAGAATGGAGCTGATTATTAAAAATACCAGATTACTTGATGTTTTTTTATATTTTCACAAAATTACATTGTTATGTGTGATCTGAATTTTGCAGACATTGCTGTACATTTGTACCAGCACATGTTACTGTATGTTTGATTTGTTTATGCACTGAATATGATACAGTGCATGACTATACTGTGTTAAGATTGAAAATCCTGAAAAAACATTAATGAACACATTACACAAAATCAACATTCACAATGATTCATTGATTCATATACAGTGAAAACTGCTTAGATGACCATCTGCATTCGACGGGCACCTGTCAAAACGGGCAAAAATTTCTAGCATGGAATAGTTTATATATAGTCTTCATTTNTATAAAAACCGTAAAAATCCAAAATGCATTTCGGACTATTTTCCAATGGAAAAATAGTCCCTCATCAGTTGGTAATAGCGACAGGTCTTAGTATACTTAAAATTATACAAGGTGAAAAATATTAAATTTAAAATTAAACTAAAAATTATGCCTAAAGCTATACAATATAAAGATGAAACCATCGCCATGACTGTACGAGCAGTAAGCATTATCAATGTGGACAGGAGTAATATTTCTTCCTAACGTTGCATGGTAACATGATGAACAGGGTGCAAAAACAGTAGATTCAAAACAGTAAAAACAGTATTATCTACCTTATGGTTATAGATATTTTAATAAATTAATTTAATTTATGTAGTCTATTTTTACATTGAATGGTCCTATGCTTAGCATTGTGAAATATTGAAATTTTCCAGACCCAGGTAGCAAACTCTAAATACACTGGTGTGAAAAACTTAAGCAACAAATTTTCTTTTGCTGTAACTCTGCAAGAAATCACCTGGGAGAAATGAAATTCAGAATACATAGACAGTATTTTATTCTTAAAAGATGAAGAAAGCATACTAGTACAAAAATGAATAGAACACATACAGTATGGAATTAAAGCCTCCTTCTTATTGTATTTCTCACTGCAAGTGTTCACTGCACATGTTCTACTTGCCCTCATGTCACATGTGATGTCTTCTTCCTGAATATGAATCACGTTTCTACTGAGTTGGGTGTTCATTGTACTGATTGCAACAGCCCTTTTTTACAATTTCATGGCTGTCTGCTTAAAAATTACATTGCTGCTTAATTTTTGCACACCAGTGTATTATTCAAAACTAACCAAATTTTATCAATAATCTTTTTTGTAATGGAACGTGTAAAGTTTGCTTGTTTTTAGTTTGAATATATCAGGTCAAAGCAGTTGACTCATGCAAACCTCAACATTTAATGATGTTACACCGTATGTTAAATGTCAAGTATGCTTGATGGAAAATAACAATACTTTTTGTATGGTAAATGAATTATTTTATTCATTAAATTAATTTACAGAGTATACATAACAGGCTCTTGGGACTTAAATCATAGAGAGTGAGAGAACGTGAGTGCAATACATCTTACCTAAAGATGACTGCATCACTCTTTGAGAAACACTTGGAAAAAGTCCAATATTATAAGAAAGTCCAGAGGAATATACCATGTAGAGTTGATCTCACCAAGTAATTTCAAAATTTAGAGTAACCTTTTAGAGTAAGTTTCTCAAACACTTTTTCAAAGTGAGCTTTCTGATGCACTTTTCTGAAGTTGGAATCATCTCTTTCTGGCCTTCCTCTGGCCTCTATTTGATATCCCATCATCCAATCAATTGACTGGTCAATCTTGGAATTTCACGTTATTGTTTTCCTTGTTGAAAAAGAAGGGCGAGGTAGTGGCTAAGGTCATATCATTATTAAAATAATTTCACACAATAACAGTGAGTTGATTTCCTTGATAACTTGAAGAGATGGAAGTTAAGCTCGAGGAAAAGATGATAATTAAAAAAAATTTAAAATTTTAATATTTTGGTGTTCAAATGCTTACAAACAGCTTCAAAATGTGTCCCATCCAACTTTCCAAAATCAAAAATAAGGACCATCCTAATGTTTGTATGTATACATATAAATTTTTTATTAATGGTTGCACCATGCAACGCTATACAGTAGATCCCCCTATAAGACGGCAGATACGTTCAGTTCTTTATGAATCAATTTCGTATGAATCACAGCCCGACACTGTGAAGTTTACGGACTACGGCTGTTTGAAAGGTTTTCTTCCATAAAAATCGATTCTAGACTAATCCGACTCAACATTTCCAAAATACGTATATTTTTTTTGGAAATAATCCATATAAACTACACTATAAACAAAAAATTGTAGGATTACTTACTGAGTGTGCACCATTCGACATTGCCGTTGCTCAAGCTTGTTTTCGTTGCGGAACAGGTCAGCAAACGGTGGCCGCGATTTCTGATGTTATTTTTCTGCGAAAACTTCGCTGAACTTTGGAAACATCATTAATATAAATAATTTTTATTGCTGTTGAATAAGAAATGTTTCTTTCACAAGAAATGTATAAAATTACAGTACTGTATTAGACTTACGGTACCTAATTTACATACTGTACAGACGATAGTTTGCCTAAACTCTCCGTAGAGTGGCGCCAGGCGGCGGAAAGCATATATATAATTATAATAAAGTTACAATAAATTAAGTTAATATATAATTATATATACAGTACCTAATTTATATATAATTAATATATAATAAATATGTACAGTACCTAATTTATATATAATTATATGTACAGACAAAACTAAACTTAATTTACCCCCTAAATGTTCGTAGCATGGCACTACGGACGGCGGGAAAGTAGTTCGGCTGCCTGATGATGCTTTACGTAATTATAGGAGTTTTTTTACCGTTGTTTACGGATACCGCCACAATTTTTTCGCAGTCTTATAGGAATTGTAATTATAGGAACCAGTCTTATAGGGGGATCTACTGTACTTTTATTCTGTTTTGAGGAATCCAGGATTGGGATCCTAGCACAGCACATCTAATGCCATTTCCATTTGCATGGCTCTGAACAAAAATTAAAATAAAAATGTATTTAATTGATTCTTTTTGAAAAAGAAGTACAGTAGAACCTTGAAAACTTGGCTCTCGATAACCTGGCACTCCGGATAACTCGGCCACACCCTGGCAGGGCAAAAAAATCCTTAGTTAATTAATTTTCATTATAGACAATTTTATAAAAGTATAAAAGCTCTCATAAAGTATTTTTCTGAGGTCTGTCTTATCAGGTAAATTACTGTACACAGTGTATTCATTAATTTTCATTTTCATGTAGTAAAGGCTCTATGCCTTCATAAAGGACGTACTTTTCCTTTGTTTAAGGGTATTTGGGCAGTTTATTCTCTGTTATATTCTCAAGTAAACAATACATACAAGTACAGTACAGTATTTTCTGAGGAAACACTCGTACTTATTTTTTTTAACCACATTCCTGATAACCCGGCATTTTCACAAACTCAGCCACCCTTCGGTCCACATTAGGCCGAGTTTTCGAGGTTCTACTGTATTAAAATTTGTGAAAATGACATAATGATAAAAATTGTCATTTTCAATATAACAATACAGGTATACCTTGAGTTACGGTGTTCTCGATTATACTTCGTTTGTCAAAAAAATATATGGAAAAATAAAAATCAAGTTTAAGTCATTTTATTCAACTTTACGTCTTTCCTTCACAAATATTGAAGTCATAATATCACTAGAAAAGCGTTAAAGCACATAAAATTATATTAAAATATGTACAGTACATTTACAGTAAATGTTAATATAATCATCATAAATCCTAGAGAACGAAACATGAAAACATCTGTGTTTCTGTGTTATCGTTTTATTTAGCGGTCTTTAATTGCTCAATATTGGTGTTTTCCATGGTATCTTCAATATCTACCGTTTGGCATTGTTGTCAGCGCCACTCAATATTGGTAAAAACAAGCCGTTTTGTGATATTGGTAAATTTAATATAAATTAGTTTATTTTCTACTGTCTCAAGATAATTTTAATAACTGTATTTGTTATTTAACCTTACAAAATCATCTTATTTTATAATGTCTTAGAGCGAACCTTAATCACAAATAAAGAGTCCACGATGTACTGTAAACATCGCCAAATTGTAAACATGTACATTTACAAGTATGTACTGTATGTACATGAATTTGTAAATTTAGATTACTTTTTTCTGTACTATACTAAAAACTAAAATTTATTTGTTTGTAAGCTTAAAATAGATTTTTATTAACCATATATTATTAAAAATTCATTTATAAATAAAATACAGAACTGGGAATGGTTATTTGTGGTTTAGCCTAGTGACAAGTAAATTTGACTTATGTCGTTTTTTGACTTAAGTCACCTCTCCTGGAGCCACTTACCGTCGTAACGCGAGGTATACCTGTATACCTCGCCTTACGACGGTATTATATTATATATATAATAATAATTCTTTTTATTTCAGGATGCTTATCAGTGGCTAAAAGAAAATAAAAGAATTCCTGGAAAAGCTTATGCTTCATTCATGCAGTCACATGGTTATCGTTGTCTGAAAGAGGTTTGTGATTTAATATCTATTAAAATTAAATTATTAATTGAATTTAATATATGTAATATGAAAACAAAATTGAAAATTAGATTAGAGATAAAATGTAATTCTAAAAGACAATTATAGTAATATTTATGATAAAAATTAATACTAAATATAAGCAAAATTTTTTAAAAATACAAAAAAAGTAACTTTATTGTTTTTGGTGATTGGCTATTCTATCCAATATTTTTACTAGATACAGTTAGACACAGAAGACAACTTTTACTCTTTATAATATCCTTTTTCAAATTGATTTCAATAAAGTGAAAAAGTACTTATGTTAAAGAGTTTTTTGTATGTGTCATTCATATACTTCTAAAAAAGCAGTAAAGTTATGATTTTGATAATTTATTGATAGAAGGAGTGGTTGTCTATCATTTTATTTGTATAGTTACAGATTGGAACTATTTTCCTTGGTCTGTATCTTTTATTCCCAACAGATTGTAGCTCCCACAGGTTCTCATCATAAAACACATCAAAATATACAAAAATGAATTTTAATTTAAGACATTACCTCCAATTCCTCTGAAGATGGGATAATAAGCCTGAAAGAACTTAGGCCAAAGAGTTTTTTGTATGTGTAATTCAAATACTCTGAAAAAAAAAGCAGTAAAGATATGATAAAATGATATGATTTGAATAGAATATGTTTAAGTAATGATGACATATTTAAATAAAATTCAGATTTCAATAAATCAAGTACTGTACTTAATATCTAATAGACAACTGAAATTAATGAAACTAAAATTTGAAGTTAAGAAATTTTATTAATTAATGGAATTAATATTTCAAAGAGAACAAAATTCATTATATAATTAGCAAAAGAAAATAAGAAAAATTTTAGAAATAAAGTTTTTCTCATTTAATAATTAATTATTTATAAAATATTCATTAAAGATTTGAATTTTTTTGAAGAATTTTTGGGGGCTATCTAATTGAAAAGTCAATCTGAAAATAGATACAGGTTAACTCTTTAAACATGAAATTGGCCAAAATTGGCTTAATTTATTTGAGATGAAATCAGCTGAAGAGAAAGTTGTTTGACTGGTTTTTCTATACAAGTTTCCCTTATAACGTGAGGGGTAAAAACAATTTCATCTGTACATACAGAGAAAAAAAGAAATTTTCAGAGCCTTAAAGAGTTAAATGATGATGTGTGTTATCTGTCAGTTTTAACAGTTACAAACATGGTTTGCTTGGTGCATTATTCCCTGACTGTTAGAGATTGGTTAGATGAATATTTCCAATGAAATGCGAGAAATTTTTTATGCATTATAGACATATTGATCTCCCATTGCAAATTTTCCTAAACCACAGAAGATACATTGGTATATACCAATGTGTCTTTAGTCTTTTCCAGTGCATTTTCTGTGTGCCAATCCATGCTTGCTTGAATTTATATCTTAGTAGTGAATAAATTTCTAATAATTTCACTCTTTATTCTTGTACATACTGTATACAAATGGACCACCTTTTATATCTTGTTTTGTACCCAACATAGAGAATTTATTGAGGTCTTGTTTTAAAGCTTTTCAGATGAGTTATTTTATAGAGCCAATGTAAACCTCAAGGCTTTTTTGGAAGTTTCATAAAAAATAAAAAACATATATTTTTGAAGAAAACTGCCACTTAAAACTGGTTAAATTAGAATTAAAAACACTAAACCTATAAACAAGCAAATTTTTATAACAATTGCAAACATTTTCACCCATGTTGAATAGGCATCATCAGGCAAACTAATCACTAAATGCTGAAAACAAACGGGGATTGCTGAACATGTGTTCAGAGAGGAGGTGACATAAGATGAGAGAAGCGGAGAGGGGAGGATAGTAAGATTTATAGTTTGAAGAAAGACTTTCAAGCTGTGGGGAAGGAGTCAACATTACGAAAATTAATAGTGGTGTTTTTTGCTATAAAAACATGAAGAAATAAACACAAATTAATTCACAGCTGCTCAAAATGTTGACCATCAACCACAATACACAAATAAATTTTTTCTAGAAATGCTTGTTACACTGAAATTAACATTTCTGACCTAATATTATGCAAATTTTCTTCAATGCTATTTTTAAGCTCAACTATGAAACATATTGGATACATCACATTTTTCAAGTAATCCCCAATAAAAAAATGAGAAGAGGTATGTCTAGGGAGTGAGGTGGCCATGGTACCACCACTTTCTTTCAATCCAATTTCCTTGAAAATATTGATCTAACCAATCTCTAATGGTCAGGGAATAATGGACCAAGAAATCATGTTCATAAAAATTGATTTCTCTATGAAGCTAAGATTTTGAATAGCTATCCAAACATTTTCTTTTAACAGTTCTTAGTAGATATTTCCATTTAAATTTCTATCAATTATTCTGAATGCCACCCCAAACATTTACTTTTTCTATGTATTCCCTACAGCTTTCTACAATCTAATGAGGATTGTTGTCACTTCAATAATAAGACCAGAGGCTGGAAGAATCACTGTGCTTTACAAATACAGTAGAGCATCGTTTATCCAAATCAATTGGGGACTGGGGTTGTTCGGATAACTTATTTTTCGGATAACCAATTATGTACGGAAAAATATATTAATTTATCCTATGTTGAAATTTTTCTCCGTTTCACGTTGAATTTTCGTCGATGTTAAGCCTAACGAAGACTATTGTATCATTAGAAATTATTTTTTTATTTTGTACAAACAAAATAAATATATTGAAAAATATAAAAACAATAAAAAATTATACTTCAGAAGTTAATTTAGTATCAAAAACGTAAAATATTTGAGTAGCTGAAGACATAGCCAAAGATTACAGCGCCACAGCACTGGTGAAAATTTAAATTTGTCAACTGGAATTCCTTCGGATAACCGACCTTCGGATAAACGACGCTCTACTGTATTGACTTATCAGTAAAAATAATTCAATGTACAAATTTTTCATCATTGGTTATTTTTCTTTTATTGTATTGAGAATGTCAAATGGCATTGGAAATCTTCCACAAAAGTTTGATGAACAGATTTGGTTTTGAGGGACAATATCTTTGTTTTTTTTTAAATTCCACTCACAGATATTTGATAAAGTAAAACATACAGTTTTTCTGTTTTTTTAAATGTATTAATTATCTTTGTTTATTATCTACTGAATTTGTTCAAACTGAAAATTATATTTAGAAATAATTATGAAGTAAAAAACAGTTGTTTGGTGATGATGATGTGTTAAGGGATTATTTAATTATTTTAAACTACAATATTTCCAGTTACAGTATCTTAATTATAACAAAGCATTTTTAGTATCATTAGAAAGGCCTTGAAGGGTGCTGTTCATTGATGTTATAAATTTATAGGGGTACAATTTAAAATAAGAGAGAAAATACATTTTTTATTTTTTTATTAAACTTCCAAAAAGCCTTGAAATTCTCAATAGCTCTATAATATAAATCATCTGAAAAGCTTTAAAATAAGATCAGCAAACTCTACATTGAGTATAATCTCTGGTATTAAAGGTGGTCCATTTAATCTTGGACATACTGTATATTAACTAGAGTCAGGACATCTAGGCAATAAAAATCATATCAGTTATAACTTATATGATTTTTAGTGCAAAGATGGCCTACTCTAATAATGACAATGTAAAAACTTATAGCATAAATACAACAAACTTCAGAAAGAAACTTTTATTCTGACAGTTGACAATATAATTTAAGCAAGTGATTGAGTGCATTTATTAATTACACTATTTCTAAAAAATAAAAATGATGATGAAAATATTCATAATGATATACTTTAATTTTTACAGTATGACTTATATTCTGTTCGTTGGGAAGAAAAACCTTTAGAATTAATTAAATGCATTCAGGTATTTATATACTTACTTAAAAATAATTATAAATATATTAATTTCACATACTGTATTTTTAATATATGGATTAAAGTTTTGAATATTTTAGAACTTTTAATATTTTAAAATTAATTTAAGTATTTTAATAAATCAGTATTATTGTAGATTGTTAAATCAAATTTATCATAAAAAACTGATTCAAATATAAGAATTGAGCTTCTGTTGTCTTAACAATAAATATGGAAGTTGTTATTAAAAATGTTGTTATTTGAAAACAGTATTGGAATAGTTTCATGAAATTAATCATATTTTCTATAAATTCTTGTTTCTTTATATTTTCCTCCTTATGGTTAGCTTTATAGATATACAATGCATTGATACCACTAATGTTCATCAGGTTATAAATAATTAAAAAAATGGAAAAAATAAAAAATAGTGTCAAAAAGTAGGTTATTAACCACTAAACATTACTGTAGGAAACATGTATAGACTTAATAGAAAAAAGCATAGATAAAATAATAGTGATGGATTACATATGTGGTGTGGCTAGAAAATAACAAAACTGTGATCACCTGTGTGAGGTTAGTCGATTAGGGGTGAGGTGTTCGACACGCCGAGCGGTTCTTTCTGTCGTGTGGGCGCAGACTGACTTCCTGAGACAGGTTTACCATATAACCGTTTATTAAACAGAAATTTTCCTTACAGATTACTTGTTAGATGAGGTAGCACCCCAAAGCACACGGATAAAGTTCGAAATAAAGTTCGTAAAAGTCAGTTTTCGTCGCTAGAGGATGGACGCTGTCGGTGAAACGCTCGGTGGGCCCCGGGGCGTTGATTACGGCTTTCGGCGGCTTCTCGCGGACGATCCGACGAATCTGTCGATTGCTAGGAGCACCCAGAGAACGATGCTTCCCCGAGGTTCCAAAATGTCCTTTTTTTTCTGAGATCTGGAGCACGACCGTCCATGAGATGACACACTGCGTATCCAAACACCAAGAACCAAAAACTACGAACCAAGCCCCTTCGTCTCTTGAGTCGCACAAATTTATAGATTTTTTTACAGCAGTCGCCTCTCCATTGGTCTCTCATTGTCACCTGGTGACAATTCGAAACCTAATGGAGGGCGCGGGAGAGGTTAACATAGCGACTGAATATGATCCTCTCTCTCGTCGCGTTTTCCTCGAATTTCTCCGTTTCCATTGTTTAACTAATTTTCCGAAAAAAACCAATTGCATTGTTCAATCGAGACACCTAATCCGTTTCCTTAGCGTCTGAAAAGGAGCTTTTTACTTTAAATCGACACCCACAATTCGGACCTCTCAGTCGACCCCTGTTCGGGTCCTCACACCTGCATGCAACAGTCACACATAGGTGAAAATGAGTGGGTGAGTAAACGACCTTAAACAAGTTAGAACAAGCACAGCAAATCTCAACTTGCTACTGCTATTAGATTGTTGTGAGTGCCTGCTGCAAGTGAACATGTTGTTAGCATGCATCAGATAAATAGCCGGCTTGAAAGAGGAGTTGTGTATCAACCCTGAAATTTTTGGTGAAATTGAAACAAACTGCCACTGAATCTTTGTGAAGCATATAGAGACACGTGTCTTTCTCATGCACGTGTGTTCAAATGGCACAGGAGATTTTCTGAGGGCTGAGAAGATGTGAAAGATGACGAATGTTCTGAACAGACCAGCATATCAAAAACTGAGGAAAACATGCAAAAAATGGAACAAATTGTGAATTAATACTATTACAAAGGAGTTCTGGAATTTTTGTGGGAAAGAGTCAGAAAAAAGTGGTGATACTTGTGGCACCACTTTCTTCTGACTTGTGGTTTCATCCTCTATCAGGACAACACACAAGCCCATTTTGGTTTTGAAGCAGGTTGGCCACACACTACTTGAACACCCACTGTACTTGCCTGACTTAGCTTTGTGTGACTTTTACCTTTTCCCTAAAGTCAAGTCTGCTATGAGCAACACCATTTTGATTTGGTTTCTGCTGTCAAGAAAAAAATGACAGAGCTGCATATCCTTAAAGATACCTGCAGCACTATTATTATCAGTGGAAGTTGCAAATGCAGCACTGTGTGGAAACAGAAGAATCATACTTTGAAGGGAAACACAACTAAAGTGAGTACACTACTCAAGATTTAAAATTCCTGCTTCAGTCTCATTATTTTCTAGCCATACCTCATATGCAATCCAAGCCTAATGGAGGATTAAAATGATTGGAGATACAGTAGATTTTGATATTAAATTAAAATAATGAAAGTATTAAGATTTTCTTAAAGCATTGTTATTTTTTAAGTAAATACAAAATGATTTTCAGAATAATATATTATATATAATAAAAAATTATGTCATTATTCATTATTACTAATAATCATGTGATTTTTGTGACTTCTATTATTCATAACAAATAAATAAAAGGATGGTTTCATCTGAAAATCAAACTATTAAACTTTTCTTAAAGCATTGTTATTTTTTAAGTAAATACAAAATGATTTTCAGAATAATATATTATATATAATAAAAAATTATGTCATTATTCATTATTACTAATAATCATGTGATTTTTGTGACTTCTATTATTCATAACAAATAAATAAAAGGATGGTTTCATCTGAAAATCAAACTATTAAACTTTACTTAAATTATTTTGGTTAATGAATTATGAATTTTTAATAAGAATTATTGCAGTTATCGTAAAAAGAATTTGTTTAGTTCTGGAAGAAAGTCTAATATTTATGCATTCTTCACATTTGTTAACTTACATTAAGTTTTTGATATTAACTAAAATTTTTGAGTTTTGAAAGGATTAGGTTATTTGTTTATTTTATATCAGAAACATATTCTATATTAGATTTTAGATTATTATCAGATTTTTTATTGTCTTAAATAATTTATGCAATAAAAAAAATAATGAAGAATTCAGTTGCTTGAAAGTATTTGGGAAGCTGATACTTGATGTGAATTAGTGAGCTCCAATATACCAAGTTTTCAGTTTATAGGTTTTATATAGAAAATATTTTATAAATAGTTTATTCTGAACATTTATTTCATAGGCTATGTTAAATAACAAGAAAAATGGATTATCTGAAGAAAGAGCATTGAGTGTTAAAGAAGCTGTAAACAAATTGGGAATTTCTGGAGGATTTATAAAAAGGTAAACTTTGAAAACTTTTGAGATAATTTTCATTAAGTTTAAAATTTATCTAATGAGCTTGAATTTAATATTCATTAAATGGAAACTAGCTTTTTTTCTGTTTTCTTGTTCTTCTCTGTTATGTTTTTTACTGTGCTGTAAAACCTTTGAATTGTGATTATTTGATTTTATAGAAAAAAACATCATTTTACAAAATTTGACATCTCAGGATAATTTACTTATAAGTATACTAAATTTCAATAGATATATTTAGCACTTTCTTATAATATTTTGTGTTGTCTTTAAAGAAGAGCTGTGCTTTTACACTGATTTTGTTTCTGCTCTTGCTTTTTTTCTTTTATGATAAATAAACTTCTAAATATCATTTTGTTAAATCATTAAACACTTACTCATTAGGAAGAGTGTGTTTTGAACAAATTTTCATCTGATTTTGTTTTATTTATTTTGAATTAAATATATTTTTTTGTAATTTCTAAATTTACTTGATTATGTATTACTTACCTAATATTTTACTTCTAATACTTTAAACACTTAACTTTAAAGTGAAGTGAATCTCTACTTCAAAAACTTTTAAATTAATAAACATTAAAAACATAGACTTTTGAAATATCTTTTATTTTCTGATTTTTCTAATATGAAATAAATTTTATGCTTCTCTTAAAAAACATTCGTTGTATGTTGTATGTATATTATTACAAATATTTTAATGATTTGTTTCTATTTAATTGCATATCCCTGACTTTATTCATTTTTTTCACTAAACTTTCATTAATGCTGATGATGATTATTTTAGGTTTTTCTCATTTAATTATAAAGAATTTTGAAAACTATTCCATTATAGTTTGTATCAATGTTTTTGGATATAATTTTTATTTGTCTCATTATTTTATTTTGGAGATTGTTTTTAAGATGAGGTTTTTGTAACCTTTGATCTTGTCTTTTTAGAAATGTTAAATAAATAAGTAGAAATAATATAGTATTATTGAAATAAAAAGAATTTCTTATTATTATTTTTTATTTTAGTATTTCTAATTTATTATGAATTTAAGTAATTGAAGATGAAGATTTTGATCATATAATAACTGAATAATCAGTTTTATTAATAAGCAATATTCAAAATTTAAATCATAATATCCATATAATTACCTCTTTCTAACCTGTTACCGGTGTGTCTACTAACTCTTATTGATCCAAAACGAATCAAAACTAACGTTTTCGAACCCTTAAACGGTTCTTCTTCAGGTTTTTTCGAATCTCTGATGGAAAATGCAGCTCGTAAAAACTTTAAATTCGAAATATGTAAGTTCGAATGCACGTTTCCCGTTTCCGTCGTTGTATGTCATGCGCAGTCGACTCCAAACGGGCTATCATAAATTACTATTCATAAACGCTAGCCACGCTGTTGATAACGTAATCTCTTCTTTATAATTGATGCATTGATTATCCTTAAGGTTAGCCAA